AAGTTTTTAAACTAATTTCGAGAGGAACATGTGATATAATTGACTGCAGCTGGCCGCCTATCTACACTCATTAGTTAGCCAATCAGATCTATCCTAACTTACTATAAATAGCCTAGCTAGATATTACTCCCTTATCTTCGTTTTCCGAAGAATCCCCCCATCCACCCCCTTTCTCCTCCTTTCCTCCTTTAAAAAGGGGAGCTCTCGAGAACCACCTGATCTCATACTCCCCTCACATGCTCCATGGACCTGGCGGGAGCCCTGGGCTCAACTATCTCCGAGCTCAGGGTTCTCTCCCGGGACAGCATGCCAAACCTGCTAACAGTTGTCAAGCAATATCTAAGTGTGAACTCTTGAAACGGTGTTTAATAAACATACTGCAAATGGATCCCTCTGTTTCAGCCACTTCGTTACACATATATTGCATAAACAATATATATTGCCATTATAAACAGAGATGTGTCCCTGTTTTACACAAGTAAACACTGTGTAATGCTACGTGTGTTAGTGTTTTTTAGTTCATTGTTTTGTGGGTGACAAAGTTTGTCGGCTGTCAACTTTTACTAGTGTTCTGGAAGTATAGGATTATTTGAGACCTGAATAAAGTGTTTTGGTAGTTGTAGTGCATTTTAAATGTGAAATAAACTGCTTTGCCAAGCTGAAAGTTGGTTAGGAGAATTATGTGAAGAGTTTTGCAAAAGTGACCCAAGTATTGAGAAATGTGTCGTAGCATCTGTAAAAAAAAAAAAAAAAAAAAAAAACTGTTATAGAGTAATGAGAAAAGGTTCATTCTTGCTGGGATAGATTTGAAGACAAAAGATTCACCTCATCATTACCTTGTTTTGAAACTGCACATTGAGAAGTGGTAGAAAAATTAGTTTTTTACAATTAAATGTCCATATAATTGAACCAAAATCATCATAAGTTTATATACATTGGTATTTAGTTGAATCATAAATGTTACAATGGTACTCGTCAAAAACAACAATGGAACTGAAATAGTATACTTCAAATTAAGAAATAAACATTTATAAGTATAAAATAAGTATAAAATCACATTAAATTAAGTGCAACTCTCAATGTAGGGATCTCGGTAGGTTTTGAGACACAGCCATTGTCTCCTCACGCAGATCATGTTGCGTGTGAATGCATGGGATCTGCAAGCTGAGATGAAGTATACGGTGTCCAGTCTGAAAACACCGGCTTAGTATAGACGCTAACACATACATGAATATCAGAAGCATGGCTCGGGATGTTCAATGTGCACTTCAGAGGGCAAAACATAAAATATCATCTTTGGAGAATGAGCTGTCTATAAAGTGAGTACTATTGGGATCTTAGTTATTAACCAGTTACACTGATGTGCATAAATGGGACATGATAGTGCAAAGAGGTTGCATAAGCATGATTGTCCTGTAGTGTAGATTTTAATTTGGTGAATAAAGTGTGCAGTGTTTTAGGTAGAGCAGTGTTAGAAATGGGATGCCACACTTTGTTAATGTCATGATATACCTTAGAAAATGAATGGGCAAGTGGAGTTTACTTCTGTTTTTAGGTAGAAAACAAAAGTCCAGTCTCTCTAAGACTGGGTACAGTCACAAAATTTCTCAGTTTGATTTTATTAGACTTAAAAAAAAAGAAATACAAATAAAGTAAATGTATATTGTAGATGTGTGTGTGTGACTGTGTGTGTGTGTGTAAAATAAACTGTAAAACCCAACAGTCAACTTAATCAAATGAAATGAGTGTAGTTTACTCAATTTACTGAAAGTTAATTCTACTCATTTGAAAGGAGTTTTAAACACAGGGTTGAAGGTAATAAGTTAAATACCTCATACTTCAACTTAAATGGAGTAAGTTCACAGTACTCGTATAGATTAGTTTCAATTGGTTTTGTCAAACTGTTTAACTTAATGGGGTTTACAGTACTCAGTTGGTTTGAATTCTCTTCATTTATCGGGTTTTACTGTACTCAAATTGCTTCATTTACTCAAACGGATTAAGTTCACAGTACTCATTAGGATTAGTTATTGAAATTAAATGGTTTATTGCATACGGTTTCCTTAAATGGTTTGAGTTGCCTTCACTTTAGGGGTTTTACAGTGTATAGATGTATAAACAAATGTATTGATGGCAGTTTTTTTTTAACCTTGCTAACAAATACAGATTGTAATGACAGCGATAATCATAATGAGTTTTTAAGTGGTGTTTTTAAATGCCTCAGAGGTGAAACCAGTGTATTTTAATGAAAAACAAGACGACAAAAGGTTAGGTTAAGTTAGACTTTATTTGTCCCCGAGAGGAAATTTGTCTTGGGCAAAAAAGGTGCTACCACATTGCTCTAAACAGACAGTAAAAATAAAACAAAACAATAAAAAAAAAAACAGTTAAGAACATACATTGTTTACAGAATAAGACCATATATAAGAGTAAATATATAAAACAAAGAACCCAGTCAAGTGCTAGCGTACTACAGGAGCAGTGTTATTGGTAGAGTTCAACAGTTTTATCGAGGTAGGAACAAACGAAAGCTTCAGTCTATTGGTTTTACACATTGGCATTCTCAAGTCTTTTTCCTGATGGTAACAGCGGATATTCACTAAAAAGGGGATGTTTACAATCAGCGCTAATGCGTATCACTCTTTTCATAACCGCCTGTTCGTATAGAGTCTGTATGTGCTCGTATTGTTTCATTCCTATAATTTTCATTTTCATTTGCACATTTTCTGCATTAAGTTATAAATAGATAAAAAAAAAAAAAAAAAAAAAAAAAAAATATATATATATATATATATATATATATATATATATCTTTTTTTTATGTAGGTAATTTTATTTGTAGAATATGCTCTAGTTATTCAATGTGATGTAAGTTTAAATTAAATTCAAGTTTATTTGTATATAGACCTGTCCCAATATCTATTTTTTGTCGTGTGATATACTGTTTTGCACCAAAATATATGGCGATAAACAATGTTATTGTCATTTAAAGACCATTTCATGCCACTCATTATATAATGGCAGAATGACAATATAATATCATCATGATGCAAGCACACTCTTTCAAAGAACACATCATATTTTATTTTTAAGAATATTTCAGTGTAGGGCTTCATGATATTGGAAAAAACTGACATTGCAATATTTTCAATCACTGCAAAATATATTGGGATATGAATGCAATTTCACCAGATGACTTGAATACCTTTTAAATATTGGAATGATTGTGTAGGGGAGCATATTTATATATCATTTTGTTATTGTACAATCTTATGTCAATGAAAAAATCATTAAATGTAAGAAATTTGCATTAATGGATTATATATCATAGTTGTTGCATCGGACATGTTTTTCTTTGACAGCCAGGCCAAGAAAACCCTCACAGGAAACAGTCTGCATTTTTACATTTTCAAAATGCCTAATTTTGTGGCATATCTATTTTTAATGAGCTATAGATCTAAAAATATTCCAGTTTAGGAGCCATATATGAAAAATCTCGACCTCCTTTAGTTGACTTTACTGTTCTGGGTACTATCAGAAGCCATGAATTTAATATTTATATATTCTTTTGTTGTTGTACAAACTTATGAAAAAACAAAAACATTAAATGTAAAACAATTTACGTTAATGGATTACATACTGTAGTGGTTGCATCAGACATGTTTTTTTTTCTTTGACAGCCAGGACTTAAAGAAAATCCTCACAGGAAACAGTCAGCAATTTTACACTTTCAAAATACCTCATTCCGTGTCATTTCTTTTTTTAATGAACCAGTTTTCTCATGTAGACCCAAAACTATTCCAGAGTTTAGAAGCCATATATGAAAACGCTCAACCTCCTTTAGTGGACTTTACTGTTTTGGGTACTACTAGAAGACATAAATTTAATATTTATATATTATTTGGTTGTACATTCTTATGTCAATAAAAAAATAATTAAATCTAAGAAATTCACATGAATAGATTACGTAGTGGTTGCATCTGACACGTTTTCCTTTGACAGCCAGGATTTAAAGAAAACCCTCACAGGAAACAGTCTGCGATTTTACACTTTCAGAATACCTCATTCTGTATCATTTCTTTTTTTAATGAGACAGTTTTCTCATGTAGACCTAAAACTATTCCAGAGTTTAGGAGCCATATATGAAAAAGCTTAACCTCCTTTAGGGGACTTTACTGTTCTGGATACTACTAAAAGCCCTAAAATTAATATTAATATATTATTTTGTTGTTGTACAATCTTATGTCAATAAAAAAATAATTAAATCTAAGAAATTCACATGAATTGATTAGATACTGTAGTGGTTGCATCGAACATGTTTTTTTTTGACAGCCAGGATTTAAAGAAAACCTATAAAAGGAAACAGTCTGCAATTTTACACTTTCAAAATGCCTCATTCTGTGTCATTTCTTTTTCTTTATGAGCCGTTTTTCTCATGTAGACCTAAAAATAATCCAAAGTTTAGAAACCATATATGAGAAAGCTCGACCTCCTTTAGTGGACTTTACTTATCTGGATACTACTAAAAGCCCTAAAATTAATATTAATATATATTAATTTTTTGTAAAGAAAAACCATTAAATGTAAAAAAAAATCACATTAATGGATTACATACTGTAGTGGTTGCATCAGACATGTTTTTCTTTGACAGCCAGGACTTAAAGAACACCCTCACAGGAACCAATCTAACACAATACATTTTCAAAATACCTCATTCTGTGTTATTTCTTTTTTATAAGCTGCTTTTCTCATGTGGACTTCAAAATATCCCCCATGATCAAAACTGACAGGTATTGCTATATTTGTGGGGACACAATGTTCGGAAAAAAAAAAAAGCCACACACACAGCTTTTGATATGTGAGCCCTGAGCTCATGAGGACATTGCAGAAGAGATTAGTCTAACTCACACTGAGCGCTAGCAAACATATGACCAGTAGCCACTACACAATGAAGCATAACAGAAGAGAGTTATTGATGCATATCCTCTGTTCATTTTTAGGGAGAGCTGCTCCGAGAGTGAAGAGGAGCTGCATCAGCTGGCATGGATGCACAAACAGGAACTGAAGGATTCACTGGTTGACATGTACAAAGGTGAGTGTGAAGACAATACTTTCCTTTGTATTTAACACATGGGTTTTTCTGTTGTCATTGGTAGTGTTGATCAATTCGATATTTAAGTCTAACTGGACAGATGGTATATTTGGCTTTGTTTAGGTCATTTTAGGCTCAGAATTTTTACTTTTGGGGTAATAAATTCACACCATTGGAAGGCAGTACTACTTCGGGTCACTAGAGGGCAGCCTTATCATGTCAAATGGTCATAAACAGCATCTTCAGGTGTTAGTGGCATGACTTGTATTAAATTAAAGAGTGCAATTAGATGTTTGAACACAGCCAAATATCAGAAGGTCGTAAGATGTGCATATAAGTGGATTATCATAGTTTAAAGGTTTGAAAAGCCTGCAAACTCCTGGCCTTGTGGCGTGAGCTTATAATACTGTCACTCACTGGCTACCATATTTGTAGATAACATGTTTTTGCTTGGTAAATCCTGACTATTAAATAGGGTAATTACATTTTTTAAAATTCTTTATTATGCACAAAAATATCTATATTACATTGTACAAGTACTTTATGCTAAACGTTACTATTAAAACATGCCAGTAAGTTTTAAAAAAGTATAGATTATTTTTGTTCAGCAATGATACCTTAATGTGTTTGTGGCATCATTTGTAATTTTGCAAAACCTTTCTGTTTTAAATAATGAATTAAGTGTGGATCTTTTGACATTTATATTCATCAAAGAATTCTGAATAAGTTCCTTCACATATTAAACAAAAATGGTTTTTAGTTTTGTTAATAAAATAAATGATTCTTAAGCACCAGTTATGAATTAGAATTAGAATTGTATGAATTAGAATGATGAATCAAGTAACACTAAGGACTTAATTATGCATTAAAATATATTGAATAAAGTAGTAATGTAAAATATTTTAAAATATAAAACTACTTTTAAATAGTAAAAATACTGAAGTTGTAGTTTTTAATCAAATAAATGCAGCTTTGGAGAAAAGAAGAGAATATATGTACAAAATATATATAATATTTGTTTTTTGTATGCCATTATAAACCTGTTTATTCTTTTTTTTTTTTTTTTTTTAATATTTCCCAAATGATGTTTATCAGAGCATTTTCACAGTTTGTCTGATAATATTTTTTCTTCTGGAGAAAGTCTTATTTGTTTTATTTTGGCTACAATAAAAGCAGTTTTTATTTTTTTAAAAGCCATTTTAAAGACAAAATTTTTAGCCCCTTTAAGCTATTTTTTTCGATAGACTACAAAACAAACCATTGTTTTAACTTGCTTAATTACCCTAACCTGCCTAGTTAACCTAATTAACCTAGTTAAGCCTTTAAATGTCACTTTAGAAGTGTCTTGAAAAATATCTAGTCAAACATTATTTACTGTCATCATGGCGAAGATAAAATAAATCAGTTATTAGAAATGAGTTATTAAAACTATTATGTTTAGAAATGTGTTCTAAACATATTATGTGTGTAGAAAAATTTTTTTCTCTTAATTAAACAGAAATTGGGGAAAAATAAATGGGGGCTTATAATTTAGGGGTTTTCTGACTTCAACTGTCTGTAAAAATTTTTTATCGTTTTTAAATGATATAATGAATGCAAAAGCAAATTGTGATGACAGATTTCTTTTAAATGCAAGTAAATCTGGTTCACTTTCAACATTTTTACCTACTTTGTGTGATGATTTTATTGGTATACCATTATCTTTTATTGTTTTAAAAATATTTAATGTCATGATATGAGTGAAATAAGGCTCTATCTATTCATTTAAGATAATCGAAATAAACATGACGCAACACAATTATTGATCTGTACTTAAAATATTTTAAAGGATTCTGCAAAATTGTATTACTTTAAATGTTCTTTCTGTCATTGCATTGTTATTATGATTTGCATTTGATCATTTCTACTCTATCTGTTTTTTTATTTTATTTTATTTTTTGAACAAGAATTTTATGAGGATGATGATGATGATGATGATGATGATGATTTGAAGGTTTAAATTTCCTGTTTAGCAAAAAAAAAAAAAAAAAAGATATAAAATAATATATAAACTCAAATCCATCCGTTTTTGTAATCTATATAGAATTGAAGTCAAAATTATAAACCCTCCTAAATTATTATTCATTTTCCCCAATTTCTGTTTAACGGAGAAAAGATTTATAAAAACATTTCTAAACATAATAGTTTTAATAACTCATTTATAATAACTTGACTACTTTTATCTTTACAAGAAGCAGCATATTATAGATATTTTTGAACATACTAGTATGCAGCTTAAAGTGCAATTTAAAGGTTTAACTTGGTTAATTAGGCAAGGTAGGGTAATTAGGCAACCCATTGTATAACCATAGTTCGTATTGTAGATAAAAGAAAATTATAAAGGGGCTAATAATTTTGTCCTTAAAATGGTGTTTAAAAAATTAAAAACTGCTGTTATTCTAGCTGAAATAAAACAAATAAGACTTTCTGCAGAAGAAAAAATATTATAGGAAATACTGTGAAAATTTCATTGCTCTGTTAAACATCCTTTGGGAAATATTTGAAAAAGAAATGGTTCATCATTAATTGGCTCTGAAACAGCGATGTGCATCGTAAAGGGCACAGATGAGGATGGATCCTTCATTGCATGACCTCTACGTTGTGTGTTTGTTTTTTTGGAGTTAATGCCAGGCTAGCCGTTTCTCCGATGTGCTGACACATCCTGCAGTAGAAGAGCCCAACCCAAAGCATTACATCCTAGTGATGGGTGGAGGCCAAGATCTGCAACAGGATCTGCTTAGCATGTATCCTGATAACTTAGACGCCTGGGCCAGCGTGTGTGTGCGTGTGCGCCCGTGGCTATATGGCCACACGCCTGATTGTATGGGTTTGTGGTACACAGACATTATGTCTGCCAGTCAGGAATACAAGCATAAATATTATACGATCATTAGTTTGGTCTGTTGGGGGGGGGTTTTCTGGATGATGTTTTGCATAAAGTCGCCCATCTTCTTCCTTTTTGGTGTCGGATGTGCATAAAGGCTACCCGAGTCTTGCTTTAATCTTGTTTTAGTGTTTGTTTAGCTTGCGGTTCTTATCTTTTACTACAGGAAAGAGTACAGTTACTGAGGTGCAGGTGGCAGTTGGCTGACAATCTGCTTGAAATACATAAAGCACGTCTTGACAGGCAAACTATTGGTGATGTGGAACTGCAGAAGTTTAGTAAAAAGTGATCTGTTCTTAGTCTGTCGAATGCGTTTATTAAACATGAAAATGCAGGAAATTTAACTGAAATATTATTTTTCTTTCTTTGATACGTTTTAATCACACTTATCTCATCAGATGAGCTGTTTTGTTTTGCATGTCTTTTGCATTTTTAGTACTTTCAATCTTAAAGTTTGACTTTAGTTCGTTTGTTCGCTCTTTCTTTCGTTCTTGTGTTTTTGTTCTTTCTTTCTTTCTTTCTTTCTTTCTTTCTTTCTTTCTTTCTTTCTTTCTTTCTTTCTTTCTTTCTTTCTTTTTCAATACTTTCTCTTTTTTTCTCTCGTTCTTTCTAATCTTTTATACTTCTGTCTTTTTTGTCCATTCTTTAGTTTTTGTTATTTGTTTCTTTCATTCCTTCTTTCCTCTTATTGTTCTTTTTTCTTATCTTTTCTCTTTTCTTTCTTTCTTTCTTTCTTTCTTTCTTTCTTTCTTCCTTCCTTCTTTCCTTCCTTCCTTTCTTTCTTTCTTTCTTTTTTCTTTCTTTCTTCCTTCTTCCTTCCTTCCTTCCTTCCTTCCTTCCTTTCTTTCTTTCTTTCTTTCTTTCTTTCTTTCTTTCTTTCTTCCTTTCTTCCTTTCTTCCTTTCTTTCTTTCTTTCTTTCTTTTTCAATACTTTCTCTTTTTTTCTCTCGTTCTTTCTAATCTTTCATACTTCTGTCTTTTTTGTCCATTCTTTAGTTTTTGTTATTTGTTTCTTTCATTCCTTCTTTCCTCTTATTGTTCTTTTTTCTTATCTTTTCTCTTTTCTTTCTTTCTTTCTTTCTTTCTTTCTTTCTTTCTTTCTTTCTTTCTTTCTTCCTTCTTTCCTTCCTTCCTTCCTTTCTTTCTTTCTTTTTTCTTTCTTTCTTCCTTCTTCCTTCCTTCCTTCCTTTCTTTCTTTCTTTCTTTCTTTCTTTCTTTTTCTTTTTTTCTTCCTTTCTTCCTTTCTTCCTTTCTTTCTTTCTTTCTTTCTTTCTTTTTCAATACTTTCTCTTTTTTTCTCTCGTTCTTTCTAATCTTTCATACTTCTGTCTTTTTTGTCCATTCTTTAGTTTTTGTCCTTTGTTTCGTTCATTCTTTCTTTCCTCTTATTGTTCTTTTGTTGTTTTCTCTTTTCCTTCCTTCTTTCTTTCTTTTTTCTTTCTTTCTTCCTTTATTCCTTCTTCCTTCCTTCCTTTCTTTCTTTCTTTCTTTCTTTCTTTCTTCTTTCTTTCTTTCTTTCTTTCTTTCTTTAATTTCTTTCTTTCTTTTTTATTTCTCTGTTCTTTCTTTTTTGTCCTTTTTCATTATTTTTCTTTCTTTCTTTCTTTCTTTCTTTCTTTCTTTCTTTCTTTCTTTCTTTCTTTCTTTCTTTGCAGTAATTGGATGTGTAAGAAGAAGTTTTCAACGGGTGTATGACATTTGAGATCATCAGACATCCTGTTTTTCTTCTGTACCACACACACATACACACACACACACACACACACACACACACACACACACACACACACACACACACACTTTTGTACCTTTAAGTACTACGAAGTAAACATTTGTACTTTTTAGGCATTCATATGTACCTTTAAGGATCTGTTAGGAACAAAAATGTGACAGATGACAGATTTTGTAGCTCTATTACTGAGAGTGCATGGTAAAAAAATGCTGGGTTGTTAATGCATAAACTCAACCACTGGTCAATGTCTTTTTTTTTCCTCTCGATTTTTGTGTCTCTTGTTTTTATGATGCTGTAAAGCATTTAAGCCTTGTGACTGTTTTAAATGTGCTATATAAATAAAGT